CATACTTTATTCTTCTTGTTTACCTTTCTTCTTCAAAAACCCTCTACCTAAGAAGTTAATAGCAAGAAAGCTTTTTTTAGGAAGAAGAAACCAGATAAAAATACTTTCTTTCTCTTTTCTATAAAGATCCCAAAGTTTTAAAAGAAGTGTGGGACAATAACTCTATACTAGCTTAGAAAACTAACATTACTATTACAGGCAGAAAGGATTTTTCTCTTACTATATAATGATTTTTTCTTAATTTTTTTAGGGGATTTTGCTTAATCTAATTGATCTTAAATTTCTGTTATATTGGATTTTGAATGGATTGATTGACTGAAGATTGGAATTGATTGCTCTATAGTTAGCAGAAATATAAAAAAGGATACATGTGATACATGATGTGAATGTATTTCTTAAGCTTCATAAGAATCTTAGATCTATTATAAATCATATATTAGGTATACAGATGGATAAATATTACATAGACTGTAGTTTTATTTCTCTTATTATTCTCTGAAAATGTTATAACTATGAAATGTATATCTCTTCTATTGAAATGAAACTTCATGAACTCACTTTACTTATGAAGACACAACCATTTTTTCAATTCAAAATCACTTCAGGATTTTTCTATTTTGATTCAAATAGTTTTTTCACCCTTGCATAACATAAAATACTATTGATTTTATACTTTTTCTCTGAATACACTCAATATTAGTGACAGGCCATAATTATCAGAATCATAAGAAAGATGTACTTCTCTTTTCAAGAAACTAGCAAGTCCACTATAATATATTAGTTATAAGGGATCCAAAAGAATTGAAGATTTAATAAGGGTATTTAGTTTTTTTAGATTATAGTAGTAGCAGAAATTTAATTCAACCAGATATCTTCAGGCAACAAGTCCTCTAGTAAATTCATTAAAGATCAGATTTTAAGAAGTTTAGTCATGTAAATGATATATGGTTCCATGTAACAATCTTTGTAATTTCTGCATTAATTTGTATATTATTTTATTAAAGTTAATAAACATGATTGAGCTTCCATTCCAAGAAAAAAAAAAAGGTTAATAAAAGTTTTTTTATGATTTTTTATTAATATATTTTTTATTAAAGTTTCTTAAAAATATAAAGTTTTTATAATAATAAAAAAATTAAAAGTATATTGAAGATTTTTTAAAATTTTTGTTATTATAGATAAAAAAAAATATTATTTAAACTATTAACAAACCAATTTTATAAAAAAAAGTTATATATAAGAAGACGAAGATAAAAAATAACTTTTAAAAATATTTTTCAAGAGAATTTAAGGAAAATAAAGAATATCAAGACTTTTTATAAACATTTTTTTATACATGATTTGATTGAAGAAAACTTAATAAAAAGAATATTTAATAAATTTTGATTTTATTTTTTATTAATACAAGATTGGTTTTATTAATATACAGAATAATATTTATTAAATATTTAAGAATTGTTTAAATGATTTTGTAATTAATGATACTATTAATATTTTAACATTTTAATTAAAATTATTAAACCTATTCAATTATTAATAATTGATTGAGAATATACTGTATAACAATTATAATTAAAGAAATAAAAATATATTTTATATATTTCAAAAATCCAAAGGGCGAAATCGAAAAAAATTTTATTCTTTTTTTATTAAAAAAGTTCAAATTTTAAAGAATTCTTAATTTTGCAAATGAGAAATAATTTTTTTAAAACGAACATTGATTTTCGCAAAGAAAATCGGTTTCCTTAAAAACCTTTTTTTTTTTTCCAATTTATCCGTGTCATATAATGTTACAGTTGTGACAAAAACAGCAACAAATATTGCAAATTTCAGCGTGCCATTTTTAAAGTTAAAGTCATAATGATATGTCGCTCCCGTCCAATTTTGAGTGTCAATCGAGATTTAAAAAGAAGAGTTTTCATAGTTTTGTCCCCTGCACTTGCATAATATTATCGTTACACCGTATCCGCTGACCAACCCTCGACGAATTTAAAAGTTCTCTTGGATACATATATGGCGAGCATGTTACATGATTTACCTTTTCCTTTCGTGCTAACCGATTTAATAGACTATTTATTATAATGGTTGTGATGGAATTTAATTTGGATCTCGTAAAATTTGGTGATCTTTTCCCCCCACATTAACTTTACAATGTATAGCAGTAACGAACCAGTTCAAGGCGTCGAGACATCTTCCGTAGGGTTGCACAATCCACCGCCTGTTGTACCATCGGGCCCGCGGACACCATTATTACGAAAGCCAAATAATTCGTTTCTTAAGCGCAAGATTATTCTCATGCTTTCGGGTTTAACTCTCGCCAATGTTGCGTCGTGGATAATTACAGTCTTTACATTTCGCGAATTCCCTTCACTCATAGGCACGGCAGCATTAGCATATACCTTGGGCCTTCGACACGCTGTAGACGCCGATCACTTGGCTGCTATTGATAATGTTACCCGAAAACTTTTACAGACCGGGAAACACTCTGTATCCGTTGGTTTGTTCTTTTCCCTGGGTCATTCGACAATCGTGATATGTGCATCACTCGCCATTGCCGTCACCGCTACCACAATAAAAGATAAATTTGGCGACCTTCAATCTATAGGTGGTCTAATAGGAACCTCGGTGTCAGCAACGTTTCTGTTTGTTATTGGAATCATCAACACCTTTGTGCTAATTTCGGTTTATCGTTCGCTTCAAAAGTTGAAGCGTACCGGTGTTTTCGAGGAGGAAAGCATCGACAATGTTCTTAATAATTATGGATATATAGGCAGATTATTTGGACCCGTGTTCAAGTTCATCGATGCGAGTTGGAAAATGTATCCACTCGGGGTACTCTTTGGCTTTGGATTTGACACCTCCACGGAAGTTGGACTTTTGGGAATTGCCGCCATTCAGGCGAACCAAGGGCTCCCCGTCTGGATGATCATGATTTTCCCCTTACTTTTTACAAGCGGCATGGCCCTAATAGACACCATCGATGGAATCTTAATGTTGGGAACCTACACTTGGGCATTTATCAATCCAATTCGAAAGTTATACTATAACTTTATCATAACATTACTTTCCGTTCTGGTCGCATTTGTAATCGGGACAATTGAGTTGTTCAATATTTTGGGTGATAAGTTGAACCTTCGTGGTCCATTCTGGGACTTTTTCGGTTCCCTTGGTGATAATTTCGGTGTTATTGGTTATTTGATTATCGGAATATTCATCATTACTTGGATCATTGCAAAGATTATTTATCGGTGCGGTGGTTACGACAAGTTGGAACAACACTTTATCCAGCAAGGTGCTGATGTTGATAACGACGATGTGAAGAGCACTTCGAGTTCAAAAAACAACGATGCTGTAGTCGGTGATAACGACAGCGGAGGAAAAAGCAAAAAAACATCCACGGAAATTGAAGTCGCATAATTGGCGACAGTTTTATCCATGGGGGTACTTTCGATAAAAGTTAGTAACATTAAAACTCGAAATACTTGAATGCTGTGCTTCTTTAATGTTAAAATGTATTTTTGTTAATTTCGAATTAAAATATATATATATATATACAGTATATGTACAGTATATTATTATAAGTTTTAAATAATACTTTATAATACTTAAAATACACGGTTTATACGATAGATCGGCATCGAAAATTGGTCACACAAATTGTAACTACTTTCTCCTTGGCACTTGGCGAGATTTGATTCTTTACTCAAATCCAATATCAGAGGTTTCATAGGATGTCCGATTTATCAAACCTTCGTGCCATCGACTTTAAGCGTACTGAGCGCATAGCGTTGACCACCGTTCTCAGAGAGTATATTAGTTGCTCGTACGCCGAACATCCCGACGCGTACACCGACGACCTTCGCATTATCGACGATTTGAGAACGGACTGTCTCAATTTAGAAGTGCACCCGAATGCTCTAAATAGATTGTTAAAGTGGGTCATTTAATGGTTACGAAGAATTAGCACGGAATTCTCGTTTGAATATCAATGATAGATCTTTTGTTTATTCAGGTATTACGGACAATTAGTGTTCATCGGATCTAAATTCCCAATCGATGTAGGTCTCTCTAATTTAATTTCCTCTTTTTTTCTCTCTCTCTTTTCATTCAGTGGTCTGCTTACGGATTGCATATATTGATTACTTTTAGGTCGGCATAGAATTTCCTTGGTATTCGGCTTTCTCGGGCGACAAGAAACCAAGTATGTTTCGTATTCCATCATTTTCATTGATTCCGGAACAATTTTCGCATCCCATTCGTTAAAAAAAAAATCCTATTGCCAGCTTCACATCGAAATTTCTACTACGAGAAAGCATGCGTACTGTTCAACATTGGTGCCATGTGTAGTCAACTCGGTGTCTCCGAAAATAGGGCAATACCTGAAGGCGTTAAAAGAGCCTGTCAGCATTTCCAAGTAATATTCAAATATCTCATCGGTGATCGATTTAGATTTTCAGAATAAGTGATTACCCAAAACCTCGTTTCAATAGTTTGCAGCTGGATGCTTTAAGCACTTGAAAGATTCAATCGTACCAGAAATGCGAATTGCACCGACCATGGACATGTCACCTGCGACTTTAGACGTGCTTATCAATATGATGCTCGCTCAGGCACAAGAATGTTTTTGGCAGAAAGCCATTCATGGTATGTGATCGAGTCTTCTAGAGCCGATTGTTTTTTTTTTCCCTTATCACAGTCACCTATATATGTTTCTCTCTTAATGCTAAGAACAATTGAAAGACGGGACTATAGCGAAATTGGCAAGTCAAGTTTCCGACTATTATGAAGCTGCGCATGAGTTAACCGCAAACAACCCCGATGTTGCCAAGATGCTGGGACAGGTGACTTAACGTACTCATCTCTCAAATCAGTATTTGATACACTCTTGTAATGACGAAATTTTCGGTTGTTTATAGAATTGGGTTATGCACTTGAAAGTGAAATCATGGCATTTTATAGCGGCAGCAGAATTTCGAAAGTCCAGCGAATGCATTAGTCAAAATAAATACGGTGAAGAAATTGCGAGATTGCAGGTGGCAGAAGGTTACGTGAAGCGTGGCTTCGAACAAAGTAAATACTTGGGCGATGCGGTCGTCAAAGATCTAGAGGTATTTTCATGCTACACATTTGATCCGACAAAATATTTGCATCTTCCGTATGCGCCACGTATTTATATAATTCTCAAATAGTCGTTGCGCAACGTGATCCTCTCGAGCCTCAGTCGCGCGGTGAAAGACAACGACATCATTTATCTAAACACCATTCCGTCGGCTTCCTCTTTGGTAGCCATCGGTCGTGCAAACTTGGCAAACCCAAATGTTCTACCAGAAGTTGGAGATCCCATTCCCTTGATGAATGAAAAGTCGATTTTGGGTATGCCTTTGTTCGCCAAACTTGTTCCCTTCGCTGTCCATCAAGCCTACAGCGTGTATTCGGATCGCAAGGAACAACTGAAGGAAAGAATCATATCGCAACTGCAAGATTTATCAAACGTTTGTACGAGGTTTGAAATCAATCAACTTTCTGTTATGTTATCGCTCCATGAATCTTGTGGTAATGTTGGGAATTGATGTGAAATGCACACAGCACCCTGCAGTCGCTGAACCTCCCCGCTTCGCTACATACTCCCGAACAATCACTCCCATCATCGTTGTTCGTAAAGTCACAGGATGTTCGCAACGAAGGAGGGCTTACGAGATTGGAAGCCATGTTCGAGACCATAGAAGAGTGTTTTCCAAATAGCAATAAAATATTGGAAGAGGTGGGCATATTTTTGTCTGTTTCTTATAACGAATAATTTGAGTTCTATATTTCAGCAAATTATGAACTTGAGGAGTGATTTCTGTACGCATTTCAATCACAGGCGTTTAATATATTGGATGCAGAAGCGGGAGAGGATGAAGAATGGCAAAGTCAATTTGGAGAAAGATGGCTTAGGGAAAGTTCCGAGAATGTCAATAAGGGATTGATAGAACAAGCGAATAAGCATAAAAAGATTCTCGAGCAAGCTCGCATGGGAGACAATTCGATACGAAATAAAATCGAACAATGGTCAGGATTCATTAAATTATTGGGCGAAGATAAGGTGATCATTTCAAAATTTGCATCATGCCTTTTTTGATACGCATCTTTTACATTTTACTTACAGCCTCCGTTAATAGGAAACATTGATCAGCTCTATTCCTTCGGGTGACACCGTAGTTGGGACTGCACAAGAAAGTCTTCAAGGAGTCACGATTGAACTGCGATCGCTGGTAAACGAAGCCTATGGTTTTATGAAAGATTGTCAAAACACGATTCAAGAAGTCAAAAAAACTGCGGGTTTGGATGACATCGGTATTTCGAATGAACTAGTGAGAATCGATGAATAAACGTGTAACTTGATCGACTCACACACACATATGAAATTAGGTCCGATCCTGCTTAAAGAGGCCGCCAGGATAACAGCTGCCAATGGTACGGCGACAAAAATTGAACCTTCTCAATTTGAGGATTTGTTCACCGAGCAGATGAAAAGGTACGACAAGTTTTTGGAATTGGCAGAAAAGGAGTCGGAACGACAAGATAGAATTCTGAATAACGTTGGGGTAAAATGCGATCGTTGATTTCTTTTTTTTGGTTCACCTTTTTTTTTTTTTTTTTCCGTTATTTATTAAAGACAAGTTTGCTAATTGAATTCAGGAAAAGTTCAAAGAGTTGTCCGAGAAACGTGTTTCGAAGAATGACTCCGAAAGGGTGAAAGCTTTGACGAACCTTGAGAATGCATATAATAAATTCAGAGAGATTCTGATGAATTTGCAGGAGGGCATAAAGGTACGCAACGATTTACTTTTGAAAAACTCTGATCGATAAATTAAGCAAATCTCTTTATTCCACACAATCTAGTTCTACAGCGATTTTGACAACACGTTGAATGAATTCAAGAAAAATTGCGAAGAATTTGCGCGATTTCGTCATGATGAAGGAGAAAGACATGTCAAGTAGGATTCACGATTCCTCAATTAATCGGTAACCTTGTTTACATGTTAACGCTTATCCTAGGCCTAACGGTTCATCTTTTTATGCCTCAGTCGTTTGACAGGTCGCGGGGGGAATCCCAATCGGCCCCAATCAGTCGATCAAAGCTTGTCATACGGTGGGTCACCATACACTTTACCTGTAAATAATTCGCGGGCGTCACAACAAAGTGGGGTGTGGAATAAAAGTATGGGAATAAGGTTTAGGGATGAAAATAATTCCTAACATTATTTAGTAGTAGATAATATTAAATTATTTCGTAGTTGCGCAGAAATGAAATGAATGCTTATTTATGACGCAAATATCGGATAAAATATATACAATTGCACGTTAGAATTTGTCATGGTCATGTATAATACTATGTTATTTCTCGAGAGCTGTGGAATAAATGGTTTCCTTTTTATACCAAAAAATTTTGTGGTGATTGGAACAAAAAAAAAAAGAATGTTTCCGGTGACAAGTAGTAAGATAAATTAGCGTGGGCTTACTCTCACAAGCTACATGTGACCCTCATATTATATAGTAATCCAATAACGTAATTGTTATGAAGATCTGGTCATCTAACGTGTCGTTGTGTATAGTTTAATAAATCCTTCTTTGTTTTTTTTTTTTTTTTTTTGACTCCAATTTTTCTTTGAGCAAGGATCATTCGTTTTTCTGTAGAAAATGGGTTGGGACTCACCTCCTTCATCTCCAAATTGGTCACCGCATAACTGGCCACCGCCTGATTGTTCTTCCGCCTTCACGTGTTACAATTGGTCTTCACCATCCGGTAAAGGAGGCGATTTCTTTGAAGTAGTTAAAAGGTTCGAGGATGATATGAATCGGGTGTTCACCGATTTTTATAATGAATGGAGATGTCCTGTGATCAATGAAAAGATCAATTGGCAAGATGCGTGTTCAATGAACTCCCCGGTGGATGGTAAACTTCAATCGCATGTTTGCTTGTGTATTTTAACTTTTGAAAACCGAGTTTAATAAATTATCTAGTAAGAGAAGAAGAAGAGATGCTTTATGTTCGTGGTGGGAAGAGCTATGTCCTAGGACATTTTTTTTTTTATTTTGCTTAATTTCTTTGCGGAACGTTGACTGACATTTGAAATCGTGACATCGGCTAGTTGAACTTCCTAATCTTCCCAAGGAGAAGATCTGGAGTGAATATATTTGTTTTACTCGCATCCTTCGTATTCATTTCAAGAAAATCTTGGCATCTTGATTAACCTTGAATTTTCGTGACAACTAGTTGGCGTTTCTTGGGACCGTTTATTAATCTGCGACCAGAACTGGGAGAGGAAACCCCTTTATGGTCGTTTCATGGTATTGATCGTTTGAATTCATTCGTGCTCCACCTCGACATTTTTCCCGATGCCCCGATTATTCCTTAAACAGGCCACAATCCCTTTGCCTTTCAAAGTCTTTTCCAAGATGTCACAAGTGACCATTAATCACGGGGTTATCGAGATGAAGGTATGCAATTGTATCACACGCGCAAGATTTTGTAATTTGCGGTTCACGAAAAATTTTGACAAATAGCTACTCCGATTTACGCTAAACTTCCCTGTTCGACGTCTTATTGCTTATGAAAAATGACTTCAAGTCGGATTGTTGCGCGTGAATAATCTTGACAAAGAACGATATGGCTGATGAATATATTCAACTTAATGGATGTTCTATGGTTGCGGTTACTTAAATGGCGATGTCGAAGGCATCGATGAACCTTCGTTATGATTCTGTCGGTTTCTAGAATTGTTGTGTGTGGTAAAAGGTCTTTTTTTTTTTTTTTTTACCATACCTCGTTTCGCGGCTATATACAGTATTTTGTTTTGAGTTATACCCGATATCGGTGTTGCTCCTAGGTAAACTTTGTTGCATTTAATTATAAATTGGTTTCTTGTGTTGGTTTGCCTAGGAGAATATTTACGCCCAATAAAAAGAAACCATGTAAAAGAAATATTTATAGATAGGAGAAAATAGTAATACACGTAACTTTAGGTTGCCCTTGGCATATTCACATTGTTTATTATCTACGGTAAAATATTGTTGTGTGGTGCTTTCCGCCTAGGGTATAAATGGTTGCAAATTCGTCGTTTTGTCCTGTCACTTCACCTTCTGTTATCAACGAAAACCAATTTACTAGTATTGCCGAACGTAGTGATAGTAAGTTGAACTATTCGATTTCCCAGAACCTGGATTGCAAACAAGTGACGCGCTTCGATTGGCGATCGATTTCACCTAGCACTTGTTATTACGTGCCGAATATGACTCCGAAATAAAAAGTTACGAAGAAAAAGCCGAAATATTTTTTAATCATCTTCCTGGAAAAATATAAATACAGTATGTAAATATTGTAAGCAAGTATTTTTAATATAATGATCATAAATTGAGATTTTATGCATCATTACACAGTTGATGCAATTTTATGAAGACATGAAAAACACAAATTGTTTGCACTAGGTAAGAGAGATATTAAAAATAGTTGAAGTATTAAGGCTATTTGAATGTAAAGGATAAATAGCAAATATGAATGATCGTCCAGGAATAATATTATGTTCTTTTTGATCAATTTCACCTCTTGTCTTTTTTTTTTTTATTATCATTTACAAATAAAAAAAAAGCAAATATTTAACTATATTTCATTAGTAAAGCATTAGTAAAATGCTACTCGTACCGAGAATTGGTGTTTATGTTGATTGCAAAAGCTTTTTATTATTATGATTATGATTATACAGTATATAAATTTTAATATAAAAGATTCTAAGTACTCTTAATCGCATGTCATACCATGTTGGTTTTAGTCTAAAAGTTCATTGTTTGTTTCGAAGATTTTTCCACCAGCTGGAAATTTCTTTGCGTTTCCATATCAATAAAGTACTAACGACAACTAACAAAGCTGCGATAATCACAATAATCACGATGACGGCGGTGCTAAGGCCTTTGGCTATCGATGGTCTTCCAGGAGGAACGCTGACGTAATAAGGATAGCTGTGCGAGTTTATAACTTGATATGCCATCAAATTTTGAAAGGGTGCATTGTAATCCAATGCGACCTTTTGTAGGAATGAGGTTAAAGGAATAATGTTATTGAAAATATAGACATGTATATATCAATAAAAACTGAGAGCGACATTTGAAAAATACCTCTGTTTCGGAATAATCTGTTCTATCGTCATCGAATTGATCTTTACTATTGGGGCCGCCAACAAGGGCTCCATACAAAATATATTTAGTAATTGGCGGATAGTTCAAGTTCGAGACATCAGTTCCACCGCTGGCGCCGGCGTGATGAGGATTTTGTGGAGAATTGGGATGAACACCAATCACATAAGGTGTACGCATTGGATTTTTTCCTAGCGAATAGTCAATTTGCGACATGGCAAAGTCCCTATATCTCTGAGCCTTGTCGGACGAAGTAGCGTAAGGGGCATAATTCAACAATAAGTATGCGGCATTAAGCGCCGGGTTTAAGGATGCGGGCGCACTATCACCACCGTACCATAGAAGACCACCTTTTGTGAGAAAACATCCTGTCGATTGTGTTACTATTCCATCCAAGTATCTTTCAGCTTCAGCCTTCCAGATGGTCGCATCCTGACCAGACTGTTGAACCAATTGCGCGAGTAATATATAAACTGCTCCCGTCTTGTCGTCCCAATTTACCACACCATTCTTTCCGGCCAAAGAATTAGCATTGAAGTAATTAATGGCCTTGGTGAGATAGTCTGTTCCATTGTTAATTGCTCGATGCAGCCAAAGTGCGCCCCACACCAACTCATCCGTATAGTTAGATGAAGAATAAAGGTCCTTGACTTGGGGGACCGAATTCTGGTATAGCACAAATGGAGTTGATTCAGTAAATTCATATACTCTTATTGCATGTGAAAGAAGGGTATCCGCGTAAGATGATTCGTTGTAGTAATTTCGGAATACTAGAGATGACGCGGCAAATGCGGCCGCTGTCTCACCAGCAACATCTGTTCCATGCGCTGACGAATTTACATTGAACGAGGGACGTGGAAGCGGAATGCTGTTCAATAAAAGGAAGATATTTTAAACGTGTGATTAAGTGAAGTAAAAAATAAAAATAAAATAAAAATAAAGAAAGATACTTCATAAATACAGTACTTGGTATCTGGGCCCCAATAATTATTATCCACATCACCTAATCCAATCATCACATATAATGTACTTTGATTGGAATGTGCTTTTATCAACCAATCTGTTCCCCACTTGATCATGTCATGAACATATTGAGATTGATTCGAAAGTTGATATCCTTGGCCCCAATCCAAAACGCCCCAGGACACAGACGTGATGACCCAAGATAACGGAAGGGTGAATTTTAAGTAGTCACCTGAATTTATTAATACATGATTTAACTCAATCGATCTCAATGAGACACAAACACGACAATTTATTACCTGCATCATAATATCCCTATTAAAAAGTCTGATTAATCATTTCGTAAATTTATTAGGTCAAATTAGTGACGTCATATACAAACCCCAGTTAGATCGAGTCCAACATCTTGTCCATCTTGCAAGGCAGAGTCGTGTCTCCTTATGAAATTTTCAGAAATTTAGCAAGTAAAGGCAAATTTTCGAAATTAACATTATATTGTTTGCTAACCATGAGACTCTATTATCAGGTGGTAGCTTGCCACTTCTTTGCGCCTCGTAAAAATACAATGAATAAGCTAGTAACTTTGCATATTCCGGGTTCGGATAAGAAATGTTACTATTATCCAAAGGTATTCCAGGAATGTCCGCCGATGGAAAGGCATAATTTGGTTGAGAAACATTGGCCGACATTATTGACAGTAAAAAAAAAAAAAAACTAGTTATCTCGTTTCCCCTATATATGTGTCGGTGAAACTGTGGGTTGTTAACCTTGAGTATTTATTTAATTTTCGTTAACACATATCCGTCAGAAATCTAAATTTAGAAGATACGCACTTTATATGATCACGACAAGGAGGTTATTAATTTTTTTTTTTTCGTGGAACTCCGTGAAAATGACATTTTCTTTCGTCACGGATGATAAATAAGACCGACAAATGTAATTATGTACAATATAGAAATATTATTTATTTACGTACAGTACATGCGTATTATATTTGAAATTTCTATAATAGTATGATCGAGACCAATGCCAAACCAGTTTCGAATTTTATTCTTCATACTATTATAGAAATCTAAAACAATTTTTTTTTAATGAGATTGATCTGCGCATTTTAGGAATTAACCTTCACCCGAAATAATTTACGTACGAATGCGCGTAGCGCATTACGAAAAAAAACATTTGTATCGCGCAAATTTGCAATAGAGCGAGAGCTAGATTTTTTTAAAATCAGAGTTTGACCGTACAGTGAATCGAAGTTCAGATTTCAAGATATAATTAAACCATGTCATACTGTATAAGATTGTATTATTCATCGATTATTTGAATAAGCAAAAAAATATATATATATATTGTGAAGAAAGAGGTTACGCCATCTTGCGTCATGCCATATCTGGATCATTCGACTGTGAACTAATATTATTTATAGAAAATCGGTTTAAAATATTGGGTGCAAACAGGATTTTTTCCGTTACGTAAACGAATATGTATTATTAATTATTACCTTGGTGGATGCTATTCAAAGGAAGGAGATACCTTCTTTATGTAGCTCTTTACGGTAATAAAAATAATCATTGTTATTAATTACAATAATCAAATTCAAATTTCAAGCGTTTTATTTCAAATTCATAAATCTTATTCTTATTTATACTAATTAAATTGTGTTATCAATTTTTGAAAATAAAAGTGATATTAAATTATTATATTAAAAATCATAAACATTTAATACTGTAGTTAAATATCTTTTATTATCAATTAAGATTTATTTTTTATTATGCAATATTACAGTATATACTGTATATACAATATATTTTCAAAAAGAATTTTTTTTAATATTATTAAAAAATATAATCTACTATTAAATAATTTTTAAATCAATACGAATTTTATTACCACTTTCAAAACAATGTTCATCAAAAGTTTTATATTTTTGTAATAATAAAATTGCTATACTATTACCAATACACTTAGTAAATATACTACAAAGCACTTCTTATCTAGTTTTGTTTCTCTGATTATCTTGAGTATCAGTTTTAAGTCAAAAGTAAATGAGATAGAACCTGGACTCCTAATGGCAAGAAAGGATACTTAGGAAAAAGACTTTTGGTTGAAGACTCCCCTTCAAAACTTTATAATAGGGCAGGCAGATCTACAGGAAGAGTATTCATTAAAGGCTATACCACGCGCAGTGGTCTTGTCCTCTAGGAAATTCACTCGATCTCAAGCTTCCTATAACATGCAAACAAATTTTTAATTCTTTTTGAAGAATTTTACCTTTCCCCTTTGACCTTAAATTTTTGGTTACACTAGATCTGCTAGAATTTTATTGGCTAGAAATTTGGAGTTGAATAATGTCATCAGTAACAAAAGATAAACAAAACATATACATGTCTCATGTGTCTCTTTTTTGTATTATCCTCTTTGCAAATAGGTGTTGCTCTCATATGATCATCAATTTAATTTAATATAAATACTTTAAGGATTATATATACTTAGACCTATTTGTTGAAACTACATTTTTCAATAAAAATTAAAAAAAAAAAAAGTTCATCGAATTATAGTAAAGGTTATAAGATACTTCAATTGTTTTTAGTATTGAAGTCATCTATCCTTGATAGCCAAGTAGGTTTTAATTATTTTCACAGATAGATAAAGATTAGTTTTATTTTTATAAAAACAAACAAAATGAATAGGAGGTTTTTTCTAGCTGGCAGTTTTTTTATTTTTGATATATAGTTTATGAAAAGATCACAAACTGAAGATCAATATTAAGACTTTTAATATAATCACTTCTCAAATATAGCCATCTCAATCATCAGTAGTACCCACCAATTTTACTTCTATTAAAAGTATTCATTGAAAATTATTGTCAAATTAAAATATTCTCTAAAGACTTAGCCTGACTTTGAAAGAATTGTATCTTTTTAAATAAAAAATCTATGTTTGAAACTGGTATTATTTTTATAATTAGATTGTCAACCCCTTATGGATTTTAAGATACACTTCTGACTATAGATTCCACCTGATCTTTGAATAAGTAGTTCCCTAAACAGACTTCCAGATAAGATAATATCAATAAAATTGATCTCTAAAATCATTTCTCTTTCATCTAAAAAGAAAAGAATATAGAAAAAACCCCCCTTTTTTTTTCAAAGATGAAGAGACACAATACTTCGATAGATAATTTATAGATATTGATTTTTTCCTTGGTATTAATTCCAATAGATAGTCAATAGTAGAAAAAATTTAGGTTTTTATCTGACAACGTACTAGTATTTTTTTCTTTATATTTTTAATACTAGTTTAAAAATAATTTTAGATTAGTCTCTCCTAGTTTGAAACAATAAAATACAATCCAATAAACTATTAGGTTTTAAGAAGTTTAATAGTACTCTTAATAGTTATAATAATTTCAAATTTTATTTTATTATCATTAATAAATATAGCTGAGCTGACAATTAAAAAAAAATTTTTTTTTAAATAAATAAAATTCAAAAAAAAAAACTTTTTTTGAATAAATATTCTGATCTTGTTTTATTTAATTTTCAAGTATAAATATATATGGATATATATTAATTCTTTCAAATTCTTTTAAATAAATATATATACTGTAAATGAACTATATTATTTCTAAAAAAAAAAACTATTTATATTTAATAATTGTTATTCAATTCAACTTTGCTTTTTAAAATAATATCTTTTTTATTTAAATTATGAAGAAACTATCTAATAATCTGAAATAAAAAATTACAATATTAAAAATAATTATAATATCTTATAATTTTTATTATAATTAAATAAAATTTTTTTTCAAAAATCAATAATATTATTAAATTAATATTTTATATTTATTTAAATTCAGATAAATATTAAAAAAATATATTTAAATATATATAATTATCAATAAGAGTATGCTTATTTCTTTTACTAATATATATTTTATTGTTTAGTCACTATATAAAAAACTTTATATTATTTAAAATTTTAATAAAATCAAAATAAACAAAAATTTTTTAAAAATAAGTTATATATCATTAAAATCTAATATATAATAAAAAAATAAAAAATATTTTTGATTAATTTCTTATTGTCTAAACAATTTTTTAAAAAAAATTGATCAATTAAAATCTATAAATCTATAAAGTTTGAACTTGATTTTACAATAATTGTAGAATCTAGAATAATTAAGATATCAGAATCTAAAAGTTAATTGTATTTAAAAAAGTATCAAAAATTTTAATTTAAAAGAAGTAATAAGAAGACAAAACTAATAAATCTGATTAAAACAGTTATTAAAAATATGCTAAAATTAAAAAAAATAAGAATTGAAATAAAAACTTTAATAAAATTAATTTCAAATAAATATAAACTAAAAATAAACAAAAATTTTTTAAATAATGTGAATAAAAAATATTGTAAAAGTTAATAACTAAGTTAATAAAATCAATGATTTTATATTTTAATTTCTTATTAAAGCAAATAATTAAATAATTAAATATTTTATATTACTATTAAAAAAAAAATAATAATAATGAATAATAGAAATAAAAAAATTAAAGATAAATAATATATAAATAATTAATTAAATGATTCATGAATTAATAGTATAGTAGTAGTATTCCTAGATTATAATCACAAGATCTATGGTTTAATATTACTTAAGAATCAAAAATCAAAAATTACTTTCTGTTTTAGTTTTACTGATTATCCTATAAAAGTTGCACCCAATTATCCAGAACAAGATCAAATCAGGTTAAGCTCAAAAAGATAGGACTTCTGATCTTCTATCAATCAAAAGCTGATATTTACAGTCATATTACTAGAAAGATTACATGAAGAAAGGTTTCTGGTCTAGCCTAACATAGATTCCCCATAACTCTTCTACCTTGATAGTCTTCAGAATTTCCATTCTCCTGGCTTATAATATTTCAATTTAATGTTCTGTTTAATTAAAAATCAGTTAATAAGAACTGATTTGATACCACAAATAATGACAAAAAAGGTAATATACCTTTTTTTGAGGTCTAAGTAAATAATACTGTATCTAGAAATATTGAAGAGTATTATATATTCCATCAGGTGCACACAAAAAAGAACTAACTTAGTGCAACAAAAAAAAAATTTTTTTGTAAGCTCAATACTAACTAGTTGAGCCTTGCTATTAATGACTATGTATTAACTATCTGGCCTCTAGTTAGGTATACCCACTTAAGAAGTGATAGTAGATCTATCTAGAACAAATTGTGATAAGTTATTATTAATCTGTATATATATAAAAATAATATAGTTTGTATAAGATAATTGTTATTATACTGAGAATTTTATTATTTAAATATAAAGTTAATTTCCAATAAAAAGCTCATATCTAATATCAATTGCAATTTAAAATAAATAAAAATAAAAATAAATAATTAATTAATTAAAATAAAATTGATAATATTTTGTATATATAGTTAATGATGGGTCCCTAAAATATTTAGCATATAAAATTTTATAGATCACTTATGTCTCTTTTTGAGGGACAAAATTCATAGCTCTTCACTTTAATAGGAACAAAAGTCAGGAAATGCTATAAATCAATTATTTAGATAATAAAAAACAATTGTGGATAGTTTTTTTATAGTTATTAATTTAAAAATTTTAATTTTTCCTAGTGAGGGACATTTGACTTA